ATGAGGGTAAGGCAGGAAAGGGTGGGCAGAAGTGGAGAGCTAAGAAAAATGAACCCAAGACAAAAGAAGTTGTTCTAAAATTAACTGGTGAAGATTAGACAACTTCTGGAGATGATTGACCTGTCAAATTGAATGATTTGCGAAACATATGCCAATAAAACTGTTTTATATATATATATGTCATGCCAATAAAAGGCCATTGGCAACTGTGTGATTCTGCTTGACATGACTGAACTATGGAATGATAGATGTATTAACCCCCAATTAATAATAAAAAAATTTAAACTGCTTAAAAAGACCATTAGCATAGGATTGGCTATGGTAATACACTAAGAGGGAGACCATGCCTTCAATCAAAATAAAAACATATGAGAGGGTTCAATAAGTTCATGGAAAAATGGAATAGAAAGATCATGGACATTTTCCAAGAACATTTTGGGAGGTTTGATGAGTTGTTGAATGTGAAACTGATGATTGGGTCCGTAAGCCTTCACCCAATTCATGATAGAAAATTCCAAGAAAAGAATAAGATAAGTCACACTGAACACTGTAAAATTACTCTTTGTAATCACACTTATTGCATTCATTTGCACTCACATCCAAATGCAAAGCACCACCATTGGCAATACGGCCGAGCCAGGACTTTTTAAGGTGGAAGACTGGCATTCAGACAAACCACTGTGTTGCCCTCACCACTCTTGAACTTGTAAGTAAGATAAATGAAATCGTCCTAAATTCTAACTAGAAAATTCATCATATTGGACTAAAGCAGAGATTCCCTGGCACCTATAAGGAGACTCTGAGAGCAGAACGCGATCCGCTTCTAATGTGTTTGAAAGTATTTGAACCAGCCGGGAACCCGTGTCCCTTTCTCCATGTGACTGTGCAGTTAGGGGAGAGCTGGGTGGAAGAGGTGGAGCTTCTCTGGTGGAAGAGCAGGAAGAAAGGTATCCTGTCAGGCAGAGAAGGACCAGAGGCCTTCTGCAGCTTGACCCTGTGCCTGCGCCACAGAATCTGCACTGGAAATAGCTCCAATCACTGTTGTAAATTAAGATGGAGGAACAACATCAGAAAAGCCACCTTGGGGTGAAACCGGAAGCTGAGAAATGCACTCGGGAACCCTGACGCCAGTAAGGAAGCATCTTGCACGGCCTCTTGGCAACCAGTCATCTGCCTTTACCCAAGGCTGCAAGCCTTTTGTTAAAGGAATCTTTCTCTTAGTCTCCATGAAACCATATCTATTTGCCCAACAGGTTCTTATTAACAGCAAGTAGATTCCTTTGGAGATTTTTCCTTTCTACCTTTCTTTGTGCTGTTCGATGATTTTCATGTAATATGGCTTTCTGTTTTAATGACTTCTAGCAAACACATCCATCCCTGAACCTGAATACACATGGTCACGGGTAAGGTCAAAGGCCTAATTAAACAACTGCTTCAATAACAGTGGCATCTCTTCGGTCCTCATTAAAAACACACCACAGAATTGCTAGTGAAAGACTCCCGTCTTTTCTCACACCGTTTGCGATGCCCCAGGAGTAACCCGTCCCTTGTGGCTGCCTGAAATCAAATTCAGGATGGGATTCTCATCGGGCACACCGTAGAGTGACTCCATTTCGATGAAGCTGAAACGATGACCCAGGAGGAAAGGCCACCCACGGGCACACCGCAGCAGCTTCCACGGAAATCTTCCAGAACTGCGTCAGCCCGCCCCATTTCCAAGAAGAGTGTGGCTATTTCCAAGTTACTGACAGATTTTAAATTGCCATACCTTTTGTTATGGCTGACTTTCAGTTTTTCTTTTTTTTTTTTATAGTTCAAGAAATACCCATGTCAATTTTCTGACTGAGCTACCAGCACATTATTAAAAGACATACATATCCATGTGTCTATATATAAATATGTATGTACATTTATGTTCTGGTGAGCTTTGCTATTTTGGTGTGCTTAAACAAATACATCAAGGGGCCAAATCGCAAAACTATCAAGCATAAATCTTCCCTACAGAAACTGTTCATTTAAGATGAACTGAGTGAAAGGCAGGATAATTGATAGAAATAATGAGCACATCCATTCATGAGAAGTCTTAAGGGTGTCTTGGCAAAATACGTCACAAATAAGCTTCACCCTGTGTCGTGAGGAACAGCCAAGAAGACCAGGGTGACGAACAGCAAAGAATTACATGTAATGAGAAGCTGATGAATTTTGTTCTAACATAGAACTCTGAACATCTTGAGCTACAATTTCTGACGGCTTTCCCTCTATGCTGTTTGCCGTGGTTCATTAAGATGTACAAGACAGGTAAAAGACAATCCCTTCATCTCCACAGTCCATGCGTTCCATAAAGCAATTATCAACGATGCAAAACAAACTAAACAAACCCAGAAGGCTTTGACTCTCAAGTACAGAAGCGGCAGGGGAGTGAAGGGAGGAGGCAAAGGAACGGCATTTGGACGTGAACCTGGGGAAGGTGAGGGGCACTGAGCAAAACAGACAACACAGGGAACCCGGAGAAGGTCAACTCAAGGACAGGCCTCCACAGAACACAGAAACATTTCCAATAGCACACTAAAGGCAAGGAGGTGGAAACA